GGGACCCGCCCGCAGCAGCGACTCGATGGAGAAGTTGGAATTTTGGGGGGGCGGCGGCGGCGGGAAGGGGCGGCCCCAGAGGACGAAGGGGGCGAGGTCGGGGACGAAGGGGGTGGCACTGGTGGCACTGGTGGCACTGGTGGCACTGGTGGCACTGGTGGCACTGGTGGCACCGGTGGCACTGGTGGCACTGGTGGCACCGGTGGCACCGCGCGCCACCGCCGTGTTCTGCAGCCGCAGCGCCGCCGGCGGGATCCGCGCCACGTCCACCGTCCAGAAATTGCCCTTGGAGTGAGGCTTGGAGGGGTCCTTGAGCACCTGGGGAGGGGGAAAGGGAAAATTCGGGGGGAAAAATGGAGAAAAGGGCGAAGAAATCCGGTGAGAAACAGAAAAAATACAAAAAAATGGAGAAAAGGGCGAAGAAATCCGGTGAGAAACAGAAAAAATACAAAAAAATGGAGAAAACGGCAAAGAAATCCGGTGAGAAACAGAAAAAATACAAAGAAATGGAGAAAACGGCAAAGAAATTCAGTGAGAAATGCAAGAAATACAAAAAAATTGAGAAAATGGCGAAAAAATTGGGTGAGAAACAGTAAAAATACAAAAAAATTGTGTGAGAAACAGAAAAAACACAAAGAAATCCATTGAGAAACACAAAAAACACAAAAAAATGGAGAAAATGGCGAAAAATTGGGTGAGAAACAGAAAAAATACAAAGAAATCCAGTGAGAAACACAAAAAATGCAAAAAAATTGGGTGAGAAACAGAAAAAATACAAAAAAATCCGGTGAGAAACACAAAAAATACAAAAAAATGGAGAAAATGGCAAAGAAATCCAGTGAGAAACAGAAAAAATACAAAGAAATCCAGTGAGAAACAGAAAAAATACAAAGAAATGGAGAAAACGGCAAAGAAATCCAGTGAGAAACAGAAAAAATACAAAAAAATGGAGAAAACGGCAAAGAAATCCAGTGAGAAACAGAAAAAATACCAAAAAATCCGGTGAGAAACAGAAAAAATACAAAAAAATGGAGAAAATGGCAAAAAAATTGGGTGAGAAACAGAAAAAATACAAAAAAATGCGGTGAGAAACAGAAAAAATACCAAAAAATCCGGTGAGGAACACAAAAAATACAAAAAAAATGGAGAAAATGGCAAAAAAATTGGGGGAGAAACAGAAAAAATATCAAAAAAACCGGTGAGAAACACAAAAAATACAAAAAAATCCAGTGAAAAACAGAAAAAATACAAAAAAATCCAGTGAGGAACGCAAAAAATACAAAGAAATCCGGTGAGAAACACAAAAAATACAAAAAAATCCAGTGAGAAACACAAAAAATACAAAAAAATGGAGAAAATGGCGAAAAAATTGGGGGAGGAAGGGAAAAATGCAAAAAAAAATGGAAAAAACGGCGGAAAAAATGGGTGAGAAACACAAAAAATACCAAAAAAATGGAGAAAATGTCGAAAAAATCAGGTGAGAAAAACAAAAAATTAAAAAAAAATGGAGAAAAGGGTGAAAAAATCAGGGGAGGAACAGAAAAAATGCAAAAATTGGAAAAATTGTGAAAAAATCAGGGGAGAAAGAGAAAACATGTGAAAAAAAAGGAGAAAATTACAAAAATTCACGTGAGGAACACAAAAAATACAAAAAAAAAGAAAAAAAACACCAAAAAAATTGGGTGAGAAGCACAAAAAGTACAAAAAGAAATCAGGTGAGGAACATAAAAAATACAAAAAAATGGAAAAAATTACAGAAAAAGAAAAAAGTCCAATGAGAAAGACAAAATAGAAAAAAAATACCAAAAAAACCCAAAAATCCCCTAAAAATTCCAATAAAATCCCCCAAAAAATCAGAATTAAATCCTCAAAAATTCCCAATAAAATCCCAATAAAATCCCCAAAAATCCCAAAAAAATCCCAATAAAATCCTCAAAAATATCCCCAAAGAATCCCCAGAAAATTCCAAAAAAAACCCAAAAAATCCCAATAAAATCCAAAAAAATCCCCAAAAATTCCCAATAAAATCCAAAAAAACACCCAAAAAATCCCCAAAAATTCCCAAAAAATACCCCAAAAATTCCCAATAAAATCCCCCACAAATCCCCAAAAAAATCCCAATAAAATAAAAAAAAATCCCCCCAAAAATGTAAAAAAAATCCTCAAAAAATCAAAATAAATCCCCAAAAAATCAGATTAAAACGCCCAAAAAAGCCCCCAAACCCCCCCAAACCCCACCCAAACAATCCCAATTTTTTTTCCCAAATTCCCCAAATTCCCAAAATTCCCAAAAATTCCCAAATTTNGGGACCCGCCCGCAGCAGCGACTCGATGGAGAAGTTGGAATTTTGGGGGGGCGGCGGCGGCGGGAAGGGGCGGCCCCAGAGGACGAAGGGGGCGAGGTCGGGGACGAAGGGGGTGGCACTGGTGGCACTGGTGGCACTGGTGGCACTGGTGGCACTGGTGGCACTGGTGGCACCGGTGGCACTGGTGGCACTGGTGGCACCGGTGGCACCGCGCGCCACCGCCGTGTTCTGCAGCCGCAGCGCCGCCGGCGGGATCCGCGCCACGTCCACCGTCCAGAAATTGCCCTTGGAGTGAGGCTTGGAGGGGTCCTTGAGCACCTGGGGAGGGGGAAAAGGGAAAATTCGGGGGGAAAAATGGAGAAAAGGGCGAAGAAATCCGGTGAGAAACAGAAAAAATACCGAAAAAATCCGGTGAGAAACGCAAAAAATACAAAGAAATCCGGTGAGAAACACAAAAAAACCAAAGAAATGGAGAAAATGGCGAAAAAATTGGGTGAGAAACAGAAAAAATACCAAAAAATCCGGTGAGAAACGCAAAAAATACAAAAAAATGGAGAAAACGGCAAAGAAATCCGGTGAGAAACAGAAAAAATACCAAAAAATCCGGTGAGAAACAAAAAAAATACAAAGAAATGCAGTGAGAAACAGAAAAAATACAAAGAAATGGAGAAAACGGCAAAGAAATCCAGTGAGAAACAGAAAAAATACAAAAAAATTGGGTGAGAAACGCAAAAAATACCGAAAAAATCCGGTGAGAAACACAAAAAATACAAAAAAATGGAGAAAACGGCAAAGAAATCCAGTGAGAAACAGAAAAAATACAAAAAAATCCGGTGAGGTACACAAAAAATACAAAAAAAATGGAGAAAATGGCAAAAAAATTGGGGGAGAAACAGAAAAAATACCAAAAAATCCGGTGAGAAACACAAAAAATACAAAAAAATCCAGTGAAAAACAGAAAAAATACAAAAAAATCCAGTGAGGAACACAAAAAATAAAAAATGATGGAGAAAATGGCGAAAAAATTGGGGGAGGAAGGGAAAAATGCAAAAAAAAATGGAAAAAATGGCGGAAAAAATGGGTGAGAAACACAAAAAATACAAAAAAATGGAGAAAATGTTGAAAAAATCAGGTGAGAAAAACAAAAAATTAAAAAAAAATGGAGAAAAGGGTGAAAAAATCAGGGGAGGAACAGAAAAAATGCAAAAAAAATGGAGAAAATCGGGGGAGAAATGTTAAAAAAGGGAGAAAATGGCAAAAAAATCGGGGGAGGAACAGAAAAAATACAAAAATTGGAAAAATTGTGAAAAAATCAGGGGAGAAAGAGAAAAAGTGGAGAAAATTCAGAAAAAAATCAGGGGAGAAAGAGAAAAAATGTGAAAAAAAAGGAGAAAATTACAAAAATTCAGGTGAGGAACACAAAAAATACAAAAAAAAAACAAACCAAAAAAATTGGGTGA